AAAAAAAAAAAAACATACTATGAACCATGTAATGCCCACAGATTTGATAATATATAAGATTTGATAATGATAATATATGAAATAAAGTAATTGGACCACACAAACTATCAAAATAGTTTGTAGCCTCCAGATAAGAAATTATCAAGACCATATAGCAATCATTACTGGTGAATTCTACCAGACAATGAAAGAAGACATGATACCAATTCTCTACAATTTCTTCCAGAAAATAGAAACAGAGGGATTCTAATTCATTATAAAAAAAAATTAAGCCAAATGAATAATGAAATGTAAAATATAAAATGAATGAAGCCACCATAACCCTATACCAAAACCAGATAAAGATATTACAAGAAAGGAAAATTAGAAACTATAATACCTATCTGTGAATGTTTTTGGCAGCTTTATTCATAATTACAGAAAACTGGAAACAACTGATGCATCTAACCAAAGCAAGCTACAGATTCAATTCACTCCCTTTCAAAATTCCAATGGCATTTTTCACAGAAATAGAAAAAGCAATCCTAAAATTTGTATACAACCACAAAAGACCTCAAACAGCTAATACAATCTTTTTTTTTTTTTAAAGATTTTATTTATTTATTTGCGAGAGAGACAATGAGAGACAGAGAGCATGAGAGGGAGGAGGGTCAGAGGGAGAAGCAGACTCCCCGCTGAGCAGGGAGCCCGATGCGGGACTCGATCCCGGGACTCCAGGATCATGACCTGAGCCGAAGGCAGTCGCTTAACCAACTGAGCCACCCAGGTGCCCCAACAGCTAATACAATCTTACAAAAAAAGAACAAAGATGGATGCATTACACTTCCTGATTTCAAAGTATATTCCAAAACCACGACAGTATGATGGCTGGCATAAATTTTGACACATAAAGCATAATTGAGAGTCCAAAAATAAACCTTTACATATTTGGTCAAATACTATTTGACAAGGGAGACAGGAATACTCAGTGGGAAAAAGATAGTCTTTTAAAAATAACTGGATAACTACCTACAGAAGAATGAAACTGGACCCCTACCTTACACCATACACAAAAATTAACTCAAAAGGGATTCAAGACTTGAATGTAGGACCAGAAACTATAAAACTCCTAAAAGAAAACATAGGGGGTAAACTCTCATACATCAGTCTTGGCAGTGTTTTTTGGAATTGACACCAAAAGAAAAAGGAACAAGAGCAAAAATAAAGCAATAGGACTACATCAAACTGAAAAACTTCTAAACAGCACAATGAAAAGGCAACATATGGAATGGGAGTAAATATTTGCAAGTGATGTATCTGAAAAGGAGTTAACATACAAATTATACAAAGACATCCAGAAAATGTAAATCAAAACCATAATGAAATATCACCTCACACCTGCTAGAATGGCTATCATCAAAAACACAAGAGATAACAAGGGGGGGCAAAGATGTAGAGAAAAGGAAATTCTTGTGCACTATTGGTGGAGTATATATTTGTGCAGGCATGATGGAAAATATTATGGAGTTTCCTCAAAAAATTAAAAATAGAACTACCATAAGATTCAGCGATCCCACTTCTGGACATATATCCCAAGAAAATGAAAACAGTATCTCGAAGAGATATCTGCACTCCCATATTCATTGCAGCATTTTTCACAATAACTAGGATATAAAAACAACCTAAATGTCTGTCAAAGGTGAATAGATAAAGAATATATTTATATATTTTCTAAAATAGAATAGAATATTATTCAGAGAAAGAAATACTGCCATTTGTGACATGGATGAAACTTGAGGGCATTATGCTAAGTGAAATAAACCAGACAGAGGAAGACAAATACTGTGTGGTATCATTTATATGTGGAATTGAATAAAGCCAAACTCATAGAAACTAGAATGGTCATTACCAGGGGCTGAGAGTTGAGGGAGAGGAATGGGGAGATGTTTGTTTAAAAGTACAAACATTGAGTATTAGAAAAATAAGTTCTGGGGATCTGTGGTGATTATAGTTAATAATACTGTATTATATACTTGAATGTTGGTAAGAGAGTAAACCTCATATGTTCTCATCACAAAAAAGAAATGGTAATTATCTGGCATGATGGAGACATTAGCTGATTCTTGCTATGGTGGTAATCATTTTAAAATATGTAAGTGTATCACACAATACATTGAACACCTTAAACTTACATAATGTTACATATCAGTTATATCTCAATAAAGCTGGCAAAGAAAGAATTTTCAGAACTAAAAAAAATGATGTGGGAGATAAGGGAGAAGGACATGTCAAGAAATAGCATGTAGGTTCTTATCCTCTTGAAGAACTAGCATCTGTTCCATGGAATACATTTTAAGGCAATGGAGCTGAGTTGAATCATGGGTCTCCTATATCTAGTTAATATTCTGTTCATAATATTTTAATATTGATTTTATATAAGCCACTACATACTAGGCCTTTGAATTTGATCTACATATCTTCCAATAATTCTCAAATTACCAGGTACAATTTCTCCCATTAAATGCAATAAGAAAAATTTAAATTTAGTAAACAGAAATTTCAAGATGCTCCTTTAGTTCCTGATGAACAATAATGGATGATGTAAGGCCACATTAATATGAGGACGCTAAGCAGTGACTAAGTAAGCTCTCATTGTTATCTCTGTACACGATTCATATCTGCACCTAAATAAAATGACAAAATTACCTCAGGTTAGGCATTTCCAGTTTTCATTTGGGTAGTTAGAAATACAAATATTATCCAATCCAAATAGACTTTGTAGCAGTTAACATTTTAGAAAGTCAAGGGAAGTTAAATATTCCAGTTAGATTATATTGGAATTGATTATGACTCAAAAGTCCTGGCTGTTTTAGAAGTTGTGAGGAAGATTTAAACTCTCAAATTATGTGAATTATTGTGGCATCATTCTATAATTTGGGGGGATGTTCCACACTCCACTTTAAGTGCCAATTTACCTTCCTTCAATGAAAAATAAAATGGAATTTTAAAGAAAATATATTAACCAAATTTTTAGTCTTTTAAAAGCCAATCAACTTCATTTTATGACATTGACTCTTCCTTCAATATGTAAAGATAATGCTTTAGTGTTTATATCTTAGCAGCTGAGAAAGTCAACTCCAATATTTATTCTCTACATGACAGTTTGTATTAGTGATTATGAAAGGGCTAGAGTGAGCACAAACTTTATGTTGGACCTTGAATAGAGATTTCTAATTCTACCATGTACTTTCTCTGTAAGAAATGTCTTGAGTAATTCATGCCACTTGCCTGGAGGCAAGCATAGCTTGTCCCAGCAAATGGAGCTCTGAATGAATTAGCCCAATTCCATTATGTTAAGCCTGGGAAATGTTGCCTTTAACCATTGAAAGATTTATAATTTATTAAAGCCTCATGATGATACAATTCAGTCCCTTGAAATGGAACTCAGCTTGATTAATAGGGAAAATATGCCTTTCTTGAAGTTAA